ATTTTTTAATACGTTGCACACTGATTTAAAATTCAGGAAACAGTGCATTGTGTAGATGGTACATAAGTTAGTTTAAACACATTAAAACATTTATGGGACACTTAAATGTTTTTTTTAAAAAGCTGATGAAAAATTACCCAAAATATGCAAAATTTCCGTATTTTAAGGAACATATGCACATTTCATTAAGTTCATATAGAAAAGAAATGTTCCTTTCTACCTGTTTTGATGTCATTTACAGTAAAATTAGTCCATATCTAGGAGAAGTGTCATGTAAAAATATTCACATCCCATTTCCAAGAGAATTAATACATGTAAACCTGTTCTTAGATAAGAGAACTGTGAACACCTGCACAAAATGCCCCCCTCCCCCTTTCCGTAAAATTGACAATTTTGAAGTACATGTAGACTAACCAGGGCATGTTTCAAGTTTCCTGAAACTATCCCCTTAGATTGAAACTAATATGAAATAAAATTTTCCCTATCCATTCTCTATTACTATGGAAACAGGAATGCAAGATTTGTTACCATGGAGACAGGAATACCAGATTTTTAACCAAAATGGCTGTGTTTAACGCAACAATATTCCCAAAACTACACTTATTTACTCTTTTATAAAATCTGTGTAATGAGTTAAATGTGAATGTGAACTAAATTTTTTGGCATCTTAAATTTGCATCTTTATGATGTTGCAAAAATATAATGCATTTTGTAATGCTATGTCAAATAATTGCAAAACCTTGTGGCTTTTACTTTTTCAAGATTTGGTCAAACTTGAAAAATTCTGAAATGAAACTAAAACAAGCAGGACATTCATAATATTTTACTCATTTCAACTTGTTACTTTGTATAATTATTTATTAAATTCATGGGCAACTGCAAACCACAGATACTTTGAATGAAGTCAAAAATTTACCCCCCCCCCTTTCTGATCTTTTTCTTTAAAACTTATGAAACACGGCTTTAAACTTGAGAAAAATTACATTGGTTTAAAAAAAAAATCACATCCTCTTGGGTAAGTTATCTTGGATTTAAACATAAATATCCAACAATGGAAAACTTTAAACATAGTGTTTGGCATATAGTTAATAATTAGGTTTACAATGGATCTTTTGTATTCTGTAAAGTCAGTTGAAACAATGCCCCCCCCCCCCCAATGAGTCCCCCACAGGTATCATTTTAAGGAAGTTCTTCCTTTCATTTTACTAGGTTCCTGCATACATCTCATCACACCAACTATATCAATCTCCTTTTCTTTTTTTTCACATGTAAATATAAATTCTGAAAACGAGAACTCTTCGCTTTTTTTTATTTTTCATATATGCAACATTTAGAGTACATGTATTCTCAACTATGGTACATATCATTAGATTTACGTGACAAATTCTACTGTTTCTGCTGCTCTGAAAATCTTGTCTCTGATTTTTCAATTTTAGAGTTTTTGTTGGTCAGGCATGTACCAGTAATGACCTACATTGACATACGCAAGTAACACTGATAATTATTTAATGAGAATTATGCTGAGTTGAGTTTTTTTGGCAAGGTACAGGATAAAGCTTGATAAGTTCTAAAACATATTGTTATACAGCATAAGATTTGAGGATGCCATCACATAATATGATAAACATGTTCCTATTATATTTGAACTTTGACATCTCAAACACTGATATCTTGAAGACAGACGGTACAAGTATGTTGATGTAGGTTGGAATTCAGCTTTCACTTGCCTGGTTTCAAACCTAAAATATGGCATCCCTTCTCAACCTGCAATGGTAAATAATTCCTGCACTTTCCAATATACACTGATTTCACTAATTAAATGTGTATGTAATCCCTTAGAAAGTTGTTTTCTTTATTCTAGTATAATAATTCTTCTGTTACTGGACAGGTATTAAATATTGTTTTAAAAAAAAAGAAATAAGCAAGGTTTAAATTTAGATATAAAACTGAAATATTTTTTAACAATTTAAGGACAGATGATATAAACTTTTGTCAAAGAATTTGAAAATAACAACTGGGGTCATGTTTAAATCAGTAAAATTAATAACTTTCTTCAAGTACTTTTTAATTTTTAAGTCATATTTGCATAAAAGTGGAATTTGAAGTGAAAAATATTTGTATAGATTAATAAGGATAGTTTCAAGAAAGCGCGCAGACTTTTGAACATCACAGAAGGTTTACAATTTCTTAATATTCTAGAAATTTATAAATAGCATCATTAATTTGCAATTAAATTATGCCAAAAAAATATATACCAATCCAGGCATCCATTTTTTGTTTGTATCATCTGTCCTTAATTTACTTTCATATTTTAAGAATGGTTTATACCTTGAAAAGAACAAAATCTAGGCTGTCCACTTTCTTGCAGTTGCACTTGAATTTCAGTCATGACCTATTTGGTCCTGTTTTGGTTTACTGGTCTTACTTTTTCTTTATTCATCTTATATGGTAAATCCTTTGATGAAAAAAATGATGAAAATAATTATTTTCCTAGGAACATGATCAAAAGGAAAATTCATTTCATTCATACACAGACATGTTCATGTGTGTGATCATCTTACCAGTAGTGAATATTTGCCTGAGTATCAAATAATTTGTTTAGAATATTATAAAACATTGTAGGTGTGTATAAAATAATTATCACTATAAATCAGAGGTGAATATTCTACATGTACATGTATATAGTTTTATTATACCCTCCGCTTGAAAAGTGGTAGGGTATACTGTAATCGGTATGTCCGTCTAGCTGTACGTCCATCTGTCTGTACGTCTGTCTGTCTGTTACGCTTTAGGGTACCCATCTCTTATTATCCGCAACTCCTCTTACACCACTGCAATGAGTGAAATTTAATGAACCTTTCACAGAATCTTAAGACATATTGCCATTGTGCACCTCCTATTTCACTTTTTGATTCGACACATATTTTGGGTTTCCCGGCCACAGTAAAACATGGATTTGTCATCAGTTATAACCATATGGGAAACAAAAATTTTAATAACTCAATATTTCCAGTGCATTTTTAACCTAGATCTATTTTGTCAACACATATAGTACAGTTTTGGAAACATATAATAAATTTAAAGTTTAAAAGATAGAAGCTATTAAATAAAACAATGGCATCAAAACAAACATGCTGTTTTCCTATTTTCTGCTTATGAACATCACATGACCATATTTTGCTGATATATACATTGTAGAATACTATTTTAAAAACTTAGCTACTTTATGCTTGTGCTCACACATTATAAACGTTTGATGCACTTTTTTTTTATGGAAACAAACTTGCTCTAGTTAAATATTTTAACAACACAGTTCTGTAAAATATGTGCCTAATGCCAATAAAGTTAAGAATTGAAATAATAGGATAAACAATGAATGAAAACTGACAGAAATGGAAATTTATATTATAAAAATAAATAATGTTCACTTAAAAGTCTCTCTCAGCACATCATAAAAAGTAAACCTACTGAATGGCACAGATTTTATACAATCTCTATATAGATATTTATATTTCGGGCGGGGGGGGGGGGTCAGCTGTATCAGCAAGTGATGTTTATATGCTTCAAATTCATTTTTATTAATAAAAATAATCAATTCATTGGTCGGAATGTCAAACTGTCAAAAGGTATAGTTCGCTTGATTTGATAAGGACCATTGACCACTACCGGTAAAACAACTGTGTATTGTAAGGCAAATAAAATTAAGAAAATATGCATTTGTTAATCTTGATATTTTTGTACTGCTCAGTATATACATGAATTTACCTTCTGTCTTCATTGTTTAAGATGTCTAGCCTTCTTCCAGACTGTAAATTTTTGATGAGATAATGTTCAGTGCTGTTTACTAAATACACATATTGTACCTCCAAACGTTACAGAGTAGTTCAAGGGAAGTAATTAGGAAGCAAAAAATGCTTCAAAATGTAGAAAATAGTAATCTTTACCTTTGAATTCCTTTTACATCTTTGAGTCTCCCACCAATATTTTACATATTTTGATATAATCAAATATCAGCCCTTCATAATTAATTATTACTAAATTTGTAATCAGTGTGCCTTTTTTGCTTTAAGCCTCCAAAAACTCCACTAAACCAATCACATATCTGATATGTTACAATATGTAAAATGGCCATTTACTATTGAGAGATTACTATTGAAAGATTAAATTAAAACTACAGATATAATTACTTTAATCTGTGGTATTAAATTTTAATAATGAAAACATCTTAAGTTATCCCTTTTCATCTCTGGACACATTTTTTCTTGATAAGTACACGTTTTTTCAAAATTAACGAAATTGAGAATTTTGCACCCCGTTTCTATGGCAACCAAGGGTCTTTTTCATAAACCCACTTTAGATTTTACAATTAATGACATAGCTGTTTAAAATTATTATAAAAAAATCAAAATGTTTTTCTATGCGTGGCCAACCAATTTTGATAATTACAGAGAATTGATATTAAAACTTACGAAAAGAAATACCTTATTTTTTTTTCTACTTAGCGAAATATTCGCATTGAGCTTAGGTACCATAGACTTATCAAGTACAGGCTTTCCTCTTGTATATTGTTCATCATTTCATAGATAAATTCAAACTTAAGATAATAAGGCACATGAGAAAATTATCACTGCAAGGTGTTTTCTTGATAAAGGGTATTAACATTTGTTATTAATTGACGTTCACCATACAAATATGGTACAAAATGTATGAATAGTTTACTTGACAAAAAAGTAAGACTTCTTTTAACATCTACATGTTAAGATACAATTTTATATTTCTATATTTCTATAAATGGTGTTGATTAATGCTTCTTCGAACACTGTTGTGAAAATGCTGAAAAAATACATTGATTCATTTGTTTAAAAAACACCATGTATTGAGAATATTTTTTTGGAATTTATTGAAACTATTTCCGTCCTTCTTTGGAATCAGGAAATTTGCAATATAAAAGTGAGTGAACATGTTTAAATACATATAATATGTGCTGATACAAAAGAAAGATATGGATGGGTCTGAAAAAGATAACATACAAGATTCTCATGATACCGTGTGTACTTCCCACTTGTGTGGAAAAAAAACTGAAAAATCATCCAATTTTCTGAACAGCATTTGGGTAAATAGGACCTATGAAGACAAAGACGTAACTGACAATAATGATGAGGTACTAAAAAAAAATTTAAAAGAAGTAGAATTCTTCAAGTATGATTCATTGCAACTGCGAGAAGATACTCGGTCTGTACAGAACTTTGCACAACCTCAGCAGCTATTGATTCCAGCAAATTGTACCCTGGAAAAGAAGAATCACACATTTCAAGTCATATGAAGGAAGATGACGATTTCTCAGACGATGAAGGCGATGCTACAGACTACATTGATAGTGATGACGAATACCAAGTGTCCTGTAATAGACGTCTGATGAGGGAAGCCGATAGTGTGTTCGTTCATGGAGGATTCGATCGCTACGGTTCAAGACCTTTAGAGGGAAGATACAGTAAGTGAGTTTTAAGACAATAAAAATAAGAAACTTTACAGTCTGTGCTAATTTTGTTCAGGCAATCAAGATAAGAAACTTTACTGTCTGTATAAAATTAACTTCCAAAATCAATAATCGCCTTATTAAAACATTATACATTTTCAGGCCAAGGTGTGGAACAGTATATGAATATGCCAGTTTTCTTGAAATCAATCCGAAAATTTGCAACAGATAATAATTTTGAGTTGTGGAATGGAAAGCCTGACGGTAGTTGTATGTTCCGATCAATAGCTGACCAACTGACAATAAATGGTCACTTTGGTCATATAGAGGACACACTTCGACACATGACAGTTCAGTAAGAACCATATAGTAAAATCACTTATATACGTAGGTGTATTCAAAGTTTAGCGCAACAACGTGGTATTTGACTGTTGGTATAATCATGCTTGCGTACATATAAGCGTTACGCATGTCCATGCCAAACATTGTCTTAAACTTAAGCCTAGTAAATGATTTTAGCGTGATTTAGCACACCATTGTCGGTACTTAATCCACTAAAATATATATTAAGCCTGCTTTTTAAAGTACAAATACAGTTTCATAATTACATACTGCGAGAAGTGGAAAACTGTTAACCCTTATCCTGCGGTCAAAGTTATGGCTTATCAGTTCCACTGCTGCGGCGAAAGTTAAGTGTAAACAGATATCCCAGTGAATGCATACTTCCTTTACTTATCAGCTTATAGCATCCTTATCTTTGATGCAATCAACATATAAGTTGTGTTATAAATATGAAGAAAAGAAAGAGCTTTTTATTCATATAAATTTTATTTCTATATTCCTACAATTTATCGCATTTACCTCGAATTAAATTGAACAGTATGGATAATGGATAATAAGTCCGAATAACTATTTAAATGCCATAAATATCAATTATAATGATACTTTAAATATCATTATTATACCTTTAGATAGTAGCTTAATTATATTCCTTTTAGTGTATAAACTTCTTTCCTTTCTTACAAAGCTCCGGAGACTAAAAGCATGCATATTTAGGTCAGCCATTTTGGAATATTTCTTTGTCCTGGAGTACCATCTATTTTGGATGGTGATTATGTGCATGATTCTTTCTGATTGGTGTATATTTTTACAAATTCTAAACCATTGGTTTATATTTATACTTGTTTCATTCATTGACATGGGATGCTCTGCTAAAAATAGCAGGGAAACAAGCATCAGATGAGGAAACCCCTCAAAACGACCTGAGGTCGCGATCCGCAGCAGCAGATCAGATAAGCCAGCGCGACTCAGAGTCGCGATTAGCAGGATAAGGGTTAAGTGTCTACAAATTGTAATTAAAAAGGGAGAGATTTTCAAAACTTCAAAGATGCTTATTTCAATTTTTTCAAGAATATCAAAACGTTTCTCTATAATATTAATTTTCTTCCTGTATTTATTTTTTTCTAGGTATCTTACGGATCATCCTTTGCAGGAAGATGGTTGTCCAATCAAATCCTTCCTAAGTACTGAAACCTGGGAAGAATACCTGACAAGAATTTCGAACCCGATGGAATGGAGCGATCACATAATGCTGAAAGCAATAGTAGATGCACTTCATTTGGAGGCTGTTGTGTTTAATATTTATAAGGACGACGTTCGTCGCACAGAAGTGAAGTTCTCTAGAAAAGATGTTTCGTTCCCGGCATTGACTGTTTACCTTGGACATTTAGGAGAGTTTCATTATGTTAGTCTTCGTCCAAAGAAATGGGAAAAACTTTGGCCGTATAGTACGTATTGTCAATATATAGCTTTATTTTATCGACTTTGCGGTATTCTCCATTGTTGATTGAATTGTCAGTAACATAATTCAGTTTTTTTTTTCTTTTCAAAACTCTTGTTAAAATACCAAAATTGAACCCAACTGAAATTTCTGTTTATTTGGTACATGTATTTTTTTTTGTTAATTCTCTAGGAGCGCCACTTCATAGAACTCATTTCTGTGCGAACAAAAGTTCTTCACATGGAATTACACAGAAATTTGAAAGATTTCAGAAGCTTGGTATCATAGGAAGCATTCAGGAACCTGGACTTGAGGAATTATTCTTGTCCTTATCAACAGGGACGATTTCTTCAGATACAAGGGATGGAGAAGATCAAGAAAATTCGACAAGATCGTTCCATCAGGAGAAAAGCTATCTTTCCCTGTTTAACTCCTATGGTTTAGATCAACTCCAGAATGAAGATACAGATGGTAATGTTAATTACACATTCTTTTGCATACATAAAGAGAACAAACAAGAAACGGCTTTGGCTCTTGTTTCTGTTTTTAAAGAAAAAATGCCCTTTTATTCCGAAAAAATGTAAATAAAAATATGTACAACAATGTATGATCGTCAGCCCGTTTAAGCTAAACACGATTCGTCAGCCATGTAGTATTCACTATATTTTACAAAAGCATATTTTGAAAGAGCAAGTTTGTTTGTTTTGTAACCAAAATTAACCCAAATATGATTTTGGGTGATGATCAGATGATTAGGGATCTGATAGGAATGTCATAAACATAATTGTTTCTCACAAGACGAAAGACCACCTTTAAGCAATCGCTTAATGGTAGCTTAATGGTGACTTAATGGTGGCTTAAAGAAGTTAATTCCTTTAAGCCACCATTAAGCCACCATTAAGCTGCAACTTACAGGTGCTTAATGTCCAAACTTCATTAAGCTACCATTAAGCCACCATTAAGCTGAGCTTAATGGTGACTTAATGGTCAACCCTCATTAAACTTTTACGCATCTTATATAGAATCTTTGAACTAATTTTTAGTTATTTTAATATCATTTACGCAAAATCTATTCCAACTCATAATTTTGTCTCGATCATAATTTCTACGAGTTTTTTGTCAACATGCATAAACTTGATCACTGGGAACAAAGTTAGCTAATAGCCACAGGGGCTTGCTCGAGGTGTCTAATTTTTAAAAAAAATCATTTACAGTGATAATAAAACAAGACATCCTGTATCAGAACTGTATATTAGTTTTTTTTAAAATAAATCATTATTACATACGTTGTTTTTATTTTTAGTGTATATGATTTTTAAAAATAGATAATTATTACACACCGTGAGCAAGTCCTTGTGAAATATCTTAAATTTACAATACCAAAAATCAATTTGTTCTTAAAATTATCTATATTCATGAACACAAAATATACATTACTTTTTAAAAACAAAATGGTATTTTTATTTCATGTGTTAAAAGAAACATTCCGCTACAGAATTCACAGGAATATAACTATATAATCTCCTGAGAAAAAAAAAATCTCTGTCCTTTTTTTGGGGGGGGGGCTACTGTTATACAAATATTTAGTTTTCAAAGATTGACTTTTACCATGAAAAACTTTTTAATGGCTTTTACATCATGAATAATTCTAATTAATTTGTTTTGTTTTTTTTTAATAATGCAGCGGCAAGTATCTGTCCAAATCTAATCGGTCTTCAATGATTGTTATTTCAAAATCGATTTTCAGAGGAACGGCCGATCAGACTAAACATGACATCCGACCAGATGTATACACATTGAGAAACGGGGTAAGATTAACAGATGATCAGTGTACAGTAAACCGACTGGTCAGACAATAGACCTTAATTAGGTGTCCCCGGTAAACTAACAGGAAACTATACATACACAACGTACACTGACAGATTTTAATAATCAATTATTTTTACAAAATTTAAATTTAACGCAAGCATATAACAAATTAAAAATTATGATTCATCGTAAAAAGTCAATTATTTTCATACCCATTATGATACAAAAAGAATTGAAACTGAATATGATATTCTAAAAAACGTTTTTGTGAACGTAATCAACCAGGTAACTCTTACGCGAGGATTGTCACTAAATTGTTGATACAGAAACCGTTAATATCCGCAGTATATTAAAAATAATAGTAGAATCGGTTTTTCCTCTTTCTTTTTCGATAATAGATTTTTGTGTTTTATCTTTAATTAATTTATTTTCAATCATGATTTAATGTTTACATTTCGAAAATTTTCGAAAAACAGAGCGAAGAACTCAATCACATTACATCAATCTAAAAGCCGAACTCAGTGTAGAAATATTAATGTGTTATAAGCCTTTCAAAAAGATCTACAAATAAAATTGTTTATATTTTGATTAATAAATCAATTCAAGACTTTTGGAAATGTTCAACAAAATACTATTAAATACCTTTACAAGTCCAAACAAGTTCTGAAAAAAAATAAAGGTTAAATATTTAATATTTTCCTTATATTATCAAGAGCGGCGATAGGCTAATGGATAAGGCGTTCGCCTTGCAACCCTAAGGTCATGGGATCGCGCCCCGACTGTGGGTTTTTTTGTTTTTTTTTTGAATTTTGAATTTCGTTCTTTTTCATTATTTTTACCAAATCAAGATATGTGCGAACTCTACATTTATAATATTGATAACAAATCACTATAAAAATAAATTTTCACCCATATAAACAATATTATCGACTGCGTAATGTGACTTAATGGTGGCTTATTGGTAGCTTAATGGTAGCTTAATGGAGTTTGGACATTAAGCACCTGTAAGTCTAGTTTAATGGTAGCTTAATTGTGACTTAATGGTGGTCTAAAAGTTACCATTAAGGACCTGTAAGCCACCATTAAGCTACATTTAAGCACCCATTAAGGACTTTGAGTTGGCTTAATGGTAACTTAATGGTGGTGTAAATGTTACTTAAAGGTACTTAATGGTGACTTAATGGTGACTTAAAGACAACCATTAAACCACCATTAAGGACCTATAAGCCACCATTAAACCGGACTTAAAGGTCGTGTTTCATCTTGTGTCTTTTATTGGAAAAATATTGTTTCATACATTGAACAAAGGTAAATATTCCTTTATTCCTTTTTATGATTTGATATTTCTTTTTCAATCATCAGATTTGCTTGAATATCTCATTGAAGACCCATTGTATGTCGACGCTTTGACTGGAATTCCCCTTCCGCATTTGGGATTTATCATAAAAAATAGCTTCCCAAAAGAACTGATTGAAGAGTACTCAAATGTAGGTGGAGCTAGAAAAAATGAAAAACAATTGTTTCACTGTATTGGTACCTTTGCCACAGGTGACAATGTTGCTTTATAAGACATTTCGCAGGAAAGAGAAATAATAAGATATCAATTTAAATTTGTACGTAAAGACCAATCTGTGGTTGCAGCATATATTAGCAATGACATACAGTTCGAAACTACTGATCATGGTAGTGGAGATATAAAATCTGTTTTACATGCTGATTGCAGCGGAACGCATCCAGGTTATTGCTGGTTACGACCTTTAGACACTAGAACATCCTTCACAACGAAAAAAGTTTCGGAACTAAATGATGGTTTGTTCCTCACAAAACAAGAGTTACCGGTGGGAATAACACCTCCTACATATACGCGGCAATGTTTCTTTGGATTTGTTTGCAAAACATTCCCCACTGTGGCCAGAGAATGGGTTCAGCGCAAGAGAAAATTTGACTGGCCTCCTCCATTTATAATATCCAAAAATTGTAAGCCAAGGTACATGCACTTTGATTCAAAAGTGTCATCCATCAAGTATCCATTCTGATATTGAATGGAAGCTTGATTTCTCAATGGCGTATTCTTATCTTTTCTGGGAAACCCTAGAAAACTTTCAAATCCATGGGTATCATGTTCTTAAAATTATAATTCAAGAGGCCACTAGAGTTTTATCTAAAGGACTTAAAAGAAAACATGTTCTCTCAGTTTTTTTAAATTCATGCGAAGGAATTCCTCAGCAGAAATGGGAGACAAATCTTGCTGGATGCATACTGCATACGCTTTCCTTGCTGATTTTCTATCTCAAAAGAAAATATTTCCCACATTATTTCGTATCATCAAACAACCTAATAGATCATTATACTGAGGAAGAAATCGAAAAAATACGTGTCTACTTGGAGGCTATTAGACTGTTTCCAACCATGGTGGTAGGCTTTATTTCAGAAAGACACGGTTACACGTTTAGTTGAAACCTAAATAGGCAAGTTTTAAATGAATGCAAAGATTTTACAAAATCTAGAGACTTGCATGAAATGTACCGGGAAAAATTTGTCCCCATTACCTTTCGAGTCTCAAAATTCTTCTGTCGTCTTGGGTTTTATTCGAGAGCATTCCGATTAATTCGAGAAGTGTTTGAAGAAATGTTAGAAGTTTCTCCAGAAAATGAAAAAAGAAACTTCGAGGCACCGAACTTTTTGGACTTCTTTCTTAAGGGATTACGTGAATTTAAGCAAAAAACATCAAGAGGAATTTTGGGTCAGATGTTTGATAGGAATAACAAAACTGAGATTTTTAAGCGTGGTTCAAAAGAGAGTTTCAAAATTGTCGGTGAAGTAGTACCTTGGAAAGCTGACTTCAGAATAGCTTGGATGAGAATTCCTACAGAAAAAAATCGAGACTTCTCGTTAATAGCTTCATTCTTCTACGAACTGAGCTTATCCCAATACAGAATGGAAAATATCAGTTTGGCCACACTTGCTGTTGATACAGCTATTCGTTGTATTGACCGTGCTATTTCAGAAGAATTGGTTAATATTGAGAATATTGAAGATAAAGAACTGAGGGAGGAAATCATGTCAGAGCAAAAAACTGCTAAGAGAAATCTCAAAAATATATTCACGTTTATTATATTTCTGACCTAGATGGTATTACCTATCCAATAAGCAAGTATTTGACTGCAATTGAAAAACTTTCAGAAGAATTTCCGGAAATGTTTGAGATAGTTGCAAATATGTTTTATTTTATAGGAAATGAAGAAAAAGGCAACGAGTACAAAAACAAATTTGAAGATTACTTTTCAGGACAAAGGAGAGATGCCCGGAGATTGTGGTATTGAGTTTAATAAGGAACTTGATAGTATGTTTTGTTTGAATGCTGTTTAACGCCCTCTCAGGATTTTTTTTCTATATGGA